ACCTCAGGACCCATTTCACAGCTTCCCAGTGCGTCTTTCCCGGATTCGCCATGAACCTTTCAAGTACCTCAGGCCCGTATCCACTGTACCTTTCAAGTACCTCAGGACCCATTTCACAGCTTCCCAGTGCGCCTTTCAGGTACACACCATTGCGTACATTAAGCTGCCAACTGCACTAGCATAAGGGACACGATCCATGTGTGTCTTATCTTCCGCTGTAGTGGGAGATTGTTTACCTGAAAGCTTGAAGTGTGGAACCAATGGAGTCGCCACCGACTTTGCACTTTGCATCCCGAACCTTGCGATCACCCGATCAATGTAGCCCTTCTGACTCAAGAACAATCGCCGATTCGCCCGCTCTCTTCTAATCTTCATACCCAGTATTTTTCTAGCAGCGCCCATGTCCTTCATCTCGAACTCTTTACCAAGTTGAGATTTCAGCCTATCTATCTCCACCCCGCTCTTAGAAGCAATAAGCATGTCGTCCACATACAAAAGGAGATAGATATAATCACCTCCACGAAGCTTCCGAATGTACACACAACAATCGTAATCGCTTCGGGAAAATCCATGCTTCAGCATGAAGGAGTCAAATCGCTTGTACCACTGCCGAGGAGATTGCTTCAGTCCATAGAGTGACTTCCTCAAGCGACATACATGATGCTCCTTATCCTCAACCTTGTAACCCTCAGGTTGATGCATGTAGATCTCTTCATCCAAGTCTTCATGTAAGAAGGCCGTTTTAACATCGAGTTGTTCCAGCTTAAGATCACCATGAGCAACAATACTCAATAGCACCTGAATAGAAGTGTGTTTCACCACCGGAGAAAATATCTCATTGTAATCCATACCCTCTCTTTGTGCAAACCCTTTAGCCACTAGCCTCGCCTTGTACCTTGTACCACCGAGCTCTGAAGAATCTTCCTTTCTCTTATACACCAACTTACAACCAATAGCTTTTCTTCCTACGGGCAATGGGACCACCTCCCATGTTTGGTTCTTCAGGAGAGATTCCATCTCCTCCTCCATCGCAGCCAACCAACTCTCGCTATCTTTATCTCGAATAGCTTCCTTGAAGGAGACCGGCTCATCTTCCTCCACCGAAAGTGCGTACTCAACCAAATTAACATGCCCATAGTGCTTCAGGGGTTGATCAGCCCCCAGCTTTTGTACCTGCTTGTATACTCGCTTTGGCCTAGTGGAAGCCAAAGTATCCTTGAGCTGCTGTTGTTGTAGTGCCTGTGTATTCTCCTGCTGAACCTCCTCTTGCTCAAGCTCATCATCTACCTGATTTTTCACTTGAACATGACTAGAACCTGGTTGGTCTTTAGGTTCTATCTTAATAACCTGGGACTTTGAAGTCCCAACAGTCCCAACACCATCATCCTTGGGCGCCCTAGCAATCATGGATTTTTCATCAAAGGTAACATCTCTGCTGATCACGAACTTCGAATCTTCTGTACACCAAAGGCGGTAGCCTTTTACGTCCTTTGCATACCCCAAGAATATCGCCTTCTTGGCCCTCGCGTCAAGCTTTCCCTCGTTGATGTGATAATAGGCGGTACATCCGAAAATTCTGAGCCTCTCATAATCTGCATGTTCCCCTGACCACACCCTATAGGGTGTATCACCATCTAGTGTAGAATGTGGAGAACGGTTCACAATGTAACATGTTGTAGCCACCGCTTCTGCCCACCATTCGTTGCCCAATCCAGCATAAGATCGCATACTCATTGCCTTCTCCCGCAATGTTCGGTTCAGTCTCTCCGCGACCCCATTCTACTGTGGTGTTGACCTGACTGTCCAGTGTCGAACAATGCCTTCTTGATCACAGAACTTCTTGAAAGCACCATCTGTATACTCTGTACCGTTGTCAGATCTTAGTGTCTTCAATTTCTTGCCCGTCCTGTTCTCAACCATTGCTTTCCACTTCTTGAATGTCTCGAATACCTCATTCTTATGCTTAAGAAAATAAATCCAAGCATACCTAGAATAATCATCTATGAACGAGACAAAATACCTGGAACCACCCTTGGAAGTTGTCTGAGCCGGACCCCAAACATCCGTGTGCACATAATCTAGTATACCTCTGCTCTTGTGATTGCTTTTCAAGAATTGGACCCTGTGCGCCTTTCCATACACACAATCCTCACAAAAATCCATGCAAGGTTTCTTCAGATTCTTCAGCAAACCCTCCTTACCAAGCAGAACCAGACCCTTCTCTGACATGTGCCCAAGCCGCCTATGCCATAACCGTGTGTGCTCACATGGGTCTCCACCACTTCCTTCAGTTCCAACCGCTGCATCTCCTGTCACCGTCGTACCCGAGAGAGTATATAGATTACCGTGACGAACACCCTTCATCACTGTTAGGGAACCTCGAACAACCTTCTTCACTCCGTTCTCTGTAACAATCTTGCAGCCACAGGAGTCCAAAGCACCAACTGAGATAAGGTTCTTCCGCAAGTCGGGAACGTGCCGCACGTCCGTTAGGGTTCTGACCACTCCATCATGCATCTTGATTTTTATATCACCGAGCCCTACCGTTTTACAAGCATGGTTATTCCCCAGCAATACAGTTCCACCATCAATGCTCCTATAGGTAGTAAACCACTTCCTATTTGGGCACATGTGGTAAGAGCAACCCGAATCAAGTATCCACTTACCGGAGGTATCTTCGCCACCCGTAACAACATAGCATTCTTTATCGCTCCCTTCCTCCGATGCGTAACTCGCCTCTTCCTTGCCTTCTCTTCTCTCGGTCTTGTTGTTGTTCTTTTTCCCACCTACTCTCTTGTTAGGACAGTCAACCTTGAAATGCCCAACTTCACCGCATTTGAAGCACGCTCGTCCCGCAAGGGGTCTCGATTTAGATCTAGACTTTCCTCCCTTGCATTTTCCTCGCTCATTGCTCCTTCCTCTAGCAAACAATCCCTGCGCTTGTTCTTTGTTACCACCAGTAGTCATGTCACCGGTTGCAATCTTCCGAAGGTCATCTGCTAGAAGCGCCGTTCTAGTCTCATCCATCGTTAAATTGTCTCCCACAAGCATCAATGTTTGCACCAGGTTCTCATAAGACTTCGGCAGAGATAGAAGTAGTAGAAGGGCCTGATCCTCGTCTTCTACAGTCACATCGATGTCTTTCAGATCCGATATAATCCTATCGAACTTGTTGATATATTCCCGGATTGATGAGCCCTCCTCCATCTTGTAAGTATACAATTTGGATTTCAAATAGATCCGGTTTGTTAGACTCTTCGTCATGAAGGTGCTTTCTAACTTCAACCACACGCCCGCAGCCGTTTCCTCTCCATCTACCAAGAAAGCTACATCCCTTTCAAGGCAAAGGATAATCGACGCCCGTGCTTCCAGATCCAGCTCCTCCCAATCCTCATCAGACATATCCTTGTGCTTCTTCTCTTTTCCCGCCAAAGCTTTGTGCAATTTCTGCGAAATCAACGTGTTCTTCATCTGCATCCTCCAATAGGAAAAATCATTCTTCCCATTGAATTTTTCAATCTCGTATTTTCCAACTTTAACTGTTTTACTTGTTGACGCCATTTTCCGCTTGTCTCAGGAAATTACCGAGCACCACCTCAAATCAGAAGCTACACCACTCCCAATCTGAATAACAGCTCTGATACCAATTGTTGGGCGCAGAGTCACGCCCACCGTCGCGGAAGCGATATCACCTGAGAGAGAGTCCTGACTTTTGTTTGCACAAAGTACAAGTCAAACTCGATATCTGTGTTTCGCGAAGGAAACCTAGACTCAGTAGCGAAATATCTCAGCGAAGTGAGATATCCACTCTTCCTCTCATCAGCGCAAGACCGAATTTTGAGGGATCCTACAAGCAATAGCCAACAACCCAGAAAACAGTAAATACACGAGATTTACGTGCTTCGGCAAACTTGCCTACGTCCACGGGAGGGGGTTTCACTATGAGGAGAATACCAAACTTTACAAATTCTCTCTCACTCACTCTTTCTTTTCTCTCAAAGAAAACTCACAGTTTCGCGAAAAACCTAGACTCAGTAGCGAAATATCTCAGCGAAGTGAGATATCCACTCTTCCTCTCATCAGCGCAAGACCGAATTTTGAGAGATCCTACAAGCAATAGCCAACAACCCAGAAAACAGTAAATACACGAGATTTTACGTGGTTCGGCTAACTAGCCTACGTCCACGGGAGGGGGTTTTCACTATGAGGAGAATACCAAACTTATTACAAGTTTTATCTCAACTCTCTCTTTTCTTTTCTCTCAAAGAAACTCACACAACCCACTTAGTATTTTATCCACACTAATTTTTTCCCCGGGCCTCTGCTTTTATCCGTTCACACACGCCTGACTTCTCTCAACTCACGCGGAAAGTCGTGGCCCCTACTCACGTGAAAGACTTCTGCTCACAAGTTGCGAGAAGTGAATCGTGTGACAATGATAATGGAGTAAAGCCAAATGCTATATGTGAGATAAAGTTTGTTGACTTGTTAAGTTTTTCATTTTAAATATATGAGAACAATTGTATAAATCTGAAAAAGTAGAAATTTCACCTCGTACTTAACTGACAACTGCTATGTAAGAAGGATAACCATTAATGGTATTAGCTGGAAACTAGTGGGTAAGATCATATAACAACAATAATGTGCCATAGCGAGATAAAGTTTGTTAACTTCTTGTATTTTTCATTGTGAATATGAGAAGTGTATGAGTCTAAAAAGTACAAATTCTGCCTCGTACTTCGTTGATAACTGCTATGGAAAAAGGATAACCGTTAATTGTACTAGCTGGCAATTGCTTGGTAACTTTTGATTGCTCAACTAGTTGCCACATGGACATGAATTTATTATCAATAAATTGGTATTCATAATCACACGGATGTAAATATGAAAACTCTCTATAGTTACTTGTCATTTTGCTTTTTCCTAGTGTAGTATTTCATATTAGAGAGTTGTATCTTATTTCGTTAATTTATTGTTTTCTTGGTGGTTTTCCTAAACAGCTTCGTTTGAAGCTAAAAAGCAATGGGTGATGCGATAGATTTAACTGGGGATGGAGGCGTGCTCAAAAAAATTATTACCCATGCAAAGGCTGATGCTATTACACCAACAGATGACCTTCCATTAGTTGATGGTACTGATGACTTCTCACATTCTCCTGCTTTCAACAAAGAGTTACATTGGTGTATATCTAAATATCTTAACAGCGAGATACTTAAAAGTTTGATGCTTTCTCCAAGTATTGATGTTCATTTCTTGTTTAGTGCAATAAATATTACGGTGGGAGAAAAGTACTGCCTTAAAGTTCCAAGTCCTCAATTTTCCTGTGAAGGTTTATTTAGCCCCATCCCCCGAAAAATATTTTGTATGCATTCTGTTCAACCCAATTGAGTTCGTCAATACTGAAGTCTTTCCCTCTGTACAGGCTTGGGAGTGGCACTTTGAATTTTAAGAGACTCTGCACAACATGCAGTGGTGTATTATACTTATTAGTCAAATAGTAGGTGCACAGTTGTAGCACGTATGCAGCATAGTTTCTAAGTTGCGCAGCTTGCGCCTAGGCCCCATTTTATCAGCTGGATATTTGCTTTGGAATTTCATTTTCTTTTCAATATTAAGTTATTCTATATTTGGTGTTAAGTAACCCATAGCCTGTACTGGGTCAAACTTTCATATTGACACGATAAATATTCATATGCTATTGACTTGAAATTATTTCATTTTCATCTTTTTAAGTAGGTTCTAGCAATTGTCATATTCTGAAGGTTAATAAGAAAAATTGCTCTGTCGGTTAAACATGGAAACTAGTAACAGTTTCCAGTAGTACTATGGTATGTGCTCCTATTGTTGCTTCCCTCTATAACCATATTTTTCAAATTTACAAGCATGTAACATTTTGCTTTCTCAAAGAATATACATCTGATCAATAAGTTATTCTATATTTGGTGTTAAGTAACCCATAGCCTGTACTGGGTCAAACTTTCATATTGACACGATAAATATTCATATGCTATTGACTTGAAATTATTTCATTTTCATCTTTTTAAGTAGGTTCTAGCAATTGTCATATTCTGAAGGTTAATAAGAAAAATTGCTCTGTCGGTTAAACATGGAAACTAGTAACAGTTTCCAGTAGTACTATGGTATGTGCTCCTATTGTTGCTTCCCTCTATAACCATATTTTTCAAATTTACAAGCATGTAACATTTTGCTTTCTCAAAGAATATACATCTGATCAATTTATAATACCTTTATTTGAAAATGTTATGCTATATTTAGCTCATATTCTTCGTGATTATTTATTGTTTTCTTGTCTATAGGCATATCCATATAAAATTCTTAAAAGAGTTTCTATTCGAATGTGGGTCATGGGATACAGGCCATTTGCACCAGTAAACTTGTATAATTAATTCGTAATATGCTATCAACAGGCAATCATTCTTATTTAACACCATAGATGGTGCACATTAACCTGAAGTTGCCAATTTGATGTGGCTACCATCTGGCATCACATCGTTGATCCATTAAGAAGGGTCGATGATGGGAAATGAAGATTAGAAACATAGTTTATGTGCTATGTAGCAAAACACCTTTTCTTTTGTAGCTACCTAAATAGTTTAAATATGAAAAGGGGTATTTTTCCAAAGGTGCATCCTGCTACACATTTTTTGTACCATTGCCTGCATATTTACTAACAGTGCGACTAGCCCATTAAAGTTACCAATGTCCAGTTAGATTTTTCCTTCTGCAAGAGTCTGACAACAAAATCTATCGATGTTAAAGCCCTCCAACAGTCTTGACCTCTTTGCTCCCTTTTCCATACGCTACCCTCTTTTCCTCTATTTCTTCTTCCCCTCTTCTACTTCGACCTTCATCTCTGACTCCGATTTTTATTGCGTCTTTGCCTCTAAGTTTTCCAACCATCTTCAGTCCTTGATAGAAGCTCCTCTGACTTCGACTGTGGAAATTGTAGCTTGTATTTTTTTTTTTAAGAGAAGTACCAATATCTTTTTTTCTAGGTATATTCCTACTGGAATTAAATTATTAGGCATAATCTATAATTTAAATTAGGAATAAAAAATCATGTAGATTGCACCTATGCTTTGCTATATACAGTCTTTGCTGTGAGAAACAAGCTCTAGGCTTTATGCTTTTCCAGCTTTCAGGATTAGATAAAAACATGTGAGACATCTATTCTTTGGAAACATGGATAGGATGATAAAATGGTGTCCATGGCCAATAAACGGCAAAAAATTGTCCTTCATTATTAGTTCTTTCAAGGAAAAAGGATTAAGTGTTGTTACATTATCTGGCCTTACGTAGGTTTTCTTTTTGGTATATAATGATGAAAAGCACTCAAGTGATGCCAGTGTGTCTCACTTATCAATATAACAAAAAAGTTTTATCTTTCTGCATAAGACAGTCTGGGATTCATGAACTTTTACTAGTTTTATCAACCCGGTATTCCCAAATTAGTTGGTGCAAAATTCCTGAAGTTCCCGTCTAAGGTATAATTTCTGATGAGAAAAGAGCTAACCAATATAATCCAAGAGAAATACTCTATGATTACATTGAGCAGAAAAAAATCTACAAGAACATTGTGCTACACGGAGATGCATTCCTCCTGGCATAGTCGAGACATGAAAACATTTCGTTCTTTTTTCTTTTTTTACGTGCGACTAGTATTTCTTTATCAACCTACCTATCCTATTTTCTGCCAGTTCATTATGAAGGCACCTTAGCTGAAACTGGTGAGGTTTTTGACACCACACATGAAGACAATAGTATCTTCTCATTTGAGGTTGGTTCAGGCTCTGTGATCAAGGCTTGGGATATTGCCTTAAGGACTATGAAGGTAATTATATGATGATACTGATGTTTCCCTGTTAATTATGTTTCAATAACTCGTCTCTATGAATTCTTGTAGGTTGGAGAGGTCGCAAAAATTACTTGCAAGCCAGAATATGCCTATGGAAGTGCAGGTTCTCCACCAGATATACCACCAGAGTAAAATCTCTGACCTGTTTTTCTCCATTTTTGACTCTTTTCTTTTACTCTTAAGAATCTGATATACGTAATAGCCTTTCTATCCTTTACCAGATACCGTTTGAAGAGAAGTAGGCATATTTATTAGATTTATTACAACTAATTACAATGATCTCTAACCAGTGCTTTCGGTTACTGGTGATGCAGTGCCACTCTTATTTTTGAGGTGGAGCTGGTGTCTTGTAGACCTCGGAAGGGTGCGAGCCTAGGTAGCGTGTCAGATGAAAAGGCTAGGCTGCAGTAAGTGCGAATAACCCGTAATTAAACCTGTGATAATGACTTGCTTGTTTGAATGCTGGTAAGTTGACTGCTGAAACATCGGAACAGGGAACTGAAGAAGCAGAGAGAAATGGCTGCAGCAACCAAAGAGGAGGAGAAGAAGAAGAGGGAAGCAGCAAAAGCTGCTGCTGCTGCTCGAGTGCAGGCCAAGTTGGATGCAAAGAAAAACCAGGGGAAAGGTAAAGGAAAGGGGAAGTAGGTACGGAATATGCATGTATATACTTTGACAAGGTTGGAATGTGGAAGTTACTCCGTACTGAGATGTTTTGATGGCGAGCTTACCCAGAACTTAGAACCTTTACCTTGTTTCATCACATAGCATCTATTATAACATATAAAATAATTGCCTTGTTAAACTGTTCGTTGTGATGTGGTATTTTCTGCTGATATAAAAGTTTGTGATGGTTATGATATTTTTCTGCACAGGGCCCCTAAATAGATCATGGTAGTGTTGTGAAATTTGCCTAGCAAAAGTTGTACGAGTTGAGTAACATCACCACCTACTCCTACTCTTCAAGGGTCGTGTTTGGAAAAGATGGAGAAGTTTCCACGTGTAAGTTGTCTCTAATCTGATTAATACCTTGCCAAGTCAGTAATCCAAATTGATGATCAACATCACTCATTGTTCCACATAAACAACGAACGTGTTAAATTTATGAACTTTTCATTTTGAAGTATGGTTACGGTATTGTAATGTAAAAAAAAATTCAGACAGTTAATCTATTTTGTGAATAACTTAAAACACAATTTTTATCCATTAAACCATGTGATATGCAAATTAAGCTATAATTGAATGGCCAGAAACAAAAAAGCTAACCAATTATTACATTTCACAAGAAGTCCCGCATTAGCTTGTTCAGTAACAAACAGGGAAATGAATGAAAAAGAGTGAAATGAGCTAGTAACTATACTGAACAAATAATGAAACAACAATGAGACGCATTAAAAAAACTGTACATGAGGGGTTAACTACTGAAAAAACTTTCGGTATATTTTGTTTGAAGGACAAAACTAGCTCTCTCTTTCCTGTTCATATCAAAGCTCGTCAACAATATTCTTAATCGAGGAGTAGGAGCCAACACACGAGCAAACTACTCCAAGAATCATAACGAAAATGCATGCAGAAACCTGAAAAAAGCAACACAAAACAACATAAGCTAACATTCTATAACTGGTATTAAGTAAATCACTATCCTAAATGTTATATATTGGTGTATAGTGATATATTCACTTACATGCAGATTGCTTACTGACTTGCGTTTAATGCTGAGATAGCATGCACATGGCATAATGAGAGTCTGTCACAAAATTCCCATGAAAAAAAAATGTTAAAATAGATGTTCAATTGAAAATGTAGCGACACAAAGCGCTGTTTTCTTATGATAAAAGTACTTACCAAAAGCATTGCGAAAAATGAACCAAGCAATGCCATGACAAGACCTGAAAACAAATTGAGCCAAATATTGATAAACTTAGAGAACGAACATTTCCTCATCATATCATGCAAGCAATTTCCCAAAAACATAGATCTGCGTGTCTCAATTCGGGGAAAAAGTAAAAGTAATACTCACCGAAAAATGGAATTGAGAGGGACACGATAAGAGATGTAAGAACAAGCATTGTTCTGAGTAACACCACATTTGAATGAGATTGTCTATTGGAAGGTAAGAGTTCCTCAATGCTCAAAGCAACCGGAGTCATTGTCAAAGCATACTTTGAGAGTGGATTCACAACCTAATAGAAGAAAAATAAATATGTATTTTTTATTTAGAGAAAATAAATAAATGAACGTATTATGCAACGGCATTTTAAGGATTTCTCTTACCGTGGTCCAAATTGCAACCTTAGAAGTCAAAAGTTGAGCAGGCATATTAAGTGTAAACTGAGACATGGTAGAATCACCAAACATTAGAAAACCTGCTGAGGCTACTGCTGCGTATAGAATTGTGCATATCCCAAAGCTGCAGCATGAAAAATAGAAAATAAAGAAAAACTGATTCACATTGCGAAGAAATGAATTAGTGAGTGACTTTTTATTATGTACATATCAGTTTACCAGGCTAATAAAACTGTCGGAAAATCTTCTTGTTTCTTCATTGAAGAATAAATGTTGGGGAAAACAGAATGTCCAGAGTAGCAAACCCCATAGAGTCCAAGTGAAACCGGGAGGTTTACAAGGTTCAAAGCAGTTCCAGTTCGATGAAACCCGATTCCATCAACAATTCCAACCCAAAACAAGCAGATGATCACTAGTACTGTTGCAATTACACCCCCAGCTGAAACAACAGGCCTTCAAACATGATTACTTCCTACGTCAAACCCCACATTTAAAAGTATCCGTTATAGATGAAGAAAGTTGCGTAAATTTCACAAATCTACCATGAGCTTTGGGGGTGTTCAGCATAAAGCTACCATAAACTTTTTTGATTAGTTTCACCAAGCTTCCATACCTGACAGTAGTTAGGGAAAGCTGATGCATACTCATGTACTATATTTATTTGGTAGAGAGTTAATTGCTGATAGACCCCTGTAGTGTCGCTGTTTTGGACTTAACACTCATTTAGTTTTACTTTTGCTGATAGACGGCTGGGTAAATTTTTTTTTGACATTTTTTACGCTCCAGATGGCGTATTTGTGAAAAACAAATCTCACTTTCTTTGAGGATTAATAGGTCCTGCAAAATAAAACTTGAGGGGTAGTAAATTTAAAACAATGGTACTACGGGGGTCTTTCCACAGTGAAACACTTTTGTGGGCTGATTGTTATAGTAAAGATGCTTCAGACCTTTTATCCAAGAGAGCAACAATCTATAATAGTTCATGGTATTTTTTCCGCACTTCTAAAAATTCATGATAGTTTCTCTAATAAATAGTTCACAGTAGTTTCCTGTTAAAACTCCCGAGGTTCATGGCAGTACTGTGAAATTTACCCGAGGAAAGTACGAATGGTTAATAGAATGAGAATTACCTGAGAGGTATGAGAGCAAGCTTAGGTCTCTAAGCCAAACAGTGGGAAGAACTGCAAGTGCTGTTGTTAGTGCAAATAATCGATGGGGTTCCAAAATAAGGCCCAAGAGGTTTAGACGCGCATTAGGAAACAATGATGCTAGGCTATCTCCCACCAGAGTTATGTACTCAACACAAGATGCCTGCAACAAGAGATCGATGCACATTGCTGAATACTTTCAATCAAAGGCATGGTATCTAAAATTTGAAGTATTTTTGAGGATTTCTGCACTTACATATAGCTCCAGGTATAAAACTATCTGCAATAACAATTATACAGTATCCAATTAGAAAAATTTCAAAGTCATCAAGCACTATAATTGACATAAAATCAAGTAAAATCCATTATGGTAAAAAAAAAACAGATAACATTTAGAAAATGATGAAGAGCTTACGGATACAAAAATGCGACCAGTCATCCCAAAAGCAGCAAAACCGATATCAGGATAAGTCTGAAGCTCCGGGGAGCTATCTAAGCACTTCTTCAATAGAATTCCAGTGTAGAATGCAATTGATCCAAGCACAAACAGCAACAAAATGCTTAGCCATCCTCCTTCCTTCAGAGCATAAGGTGTAGTAAGTAGTCCCACACCACAGAGCACATTGATTCCTATCAACGAGTTAACCAGTCGAAACATAAAGGTGAATTACACAAACGTTTGTAGCATTAATGAAAAGTTTTTACTAAATTCGCCAATAACAGAATAGAAGACCTGCTCTCATATCATGAACTATTGAACAAGAGCCTTTAATTTATCTTCCATTTGTGATTGATGAAGTCAACCATTCATAGTACACTAGTGTATATAAGCAAATGGTCAGATGTGACGTTTATCATATTTGCATCCACTTACTAACTACGGATATGAAAATAAATGTGTTTTT